GGCTCGACTCGGGCCAAAAAAAGCTCGGTCCAAAAAAGTTCGGGCTCGGCCCGAGCTTTTTTTTCCCGGCTCGGGCTCGGCTCGGCTCGGCTCGGCTCGACTCAGCTCGGCTCGGCTCGTTGCCACCGCTACCTATACATACTCAACCACATTCACCCATCAATGCTTGCGTGCCACCATTCCCACCACCATCTATAAACACCTAGCAACATCATTCTAATAGCTCAAGAATAACTAACAAATGGAGGGTGAAATGATTTTCTAAACTTTTTCAAAAAATTAATTTAAATTCAAGCAAGTTGAGAATGAATAAATCAATCAAACACAGCACAAATACGAAAATAATAAATAAAAAGGGAAGAAAGATTGCAAAAGATATAATTATGGAGCTTCGATCCAAAATAATAATCTACGTCCTCCGTTATCAAGTTCTCCATCACGAGCAATGTCATTTCACTATATTTTATTGACTTATTGTGTAATCCAAACTCTTACAACGCTTCCAGTAACTTACAAACTAAGAGTATCGACCATTGTACAAAATTGAGTTTTACGTAACCTCAATGAAACCCACATATTTGTTAAGAAATGATTTTTCAATTCAGAACTTCTCTCTTAATAAATTATAGAAACAAATTAAGTACTAAAAGAGAAATAGGCTAACAATTCAAATGAATAGCAACAAATAAAGTTCAAGTGTTAGATGAAAATAGCTTTGATGAAAAAATGATTTTTAAAGGTTGAATCAATCAAAGATTTTCAAAGTAGATGTTTTGATGAAGATAAATAAAATATAAGATCAGAATATTTTTGCTCAATAATATCTCACTTAAATGCTCTTGAAAAGTGTTGCAATGAATGCAAAGTGAGATGGTATTTATATAGTTCAGGCAAAATTATATGTGGAATTGGACAGTCAATCAAACTTCCGGTTCCTCATCCAGAAGTACAAAAACTATCCATCGTGCACGGACGTCAGAACAATCGAAAAAGTGACCGTTACATGATCTGGATGTCCTTGTGGACATCCGGATGTTCATTACTATGTTTGAACGTCTACACTTCGATAGTTTAATCCATTTTTTCTGTGCATGGTTTGACGTGAAAATTTTCAAAATATGATCTAAAATCAATTTTCGCTTTTAATAAAAATATTTTATACAAATGATAGTGAAAGTCATTTTTAGCACATGAAGTGAATTTTGAGCTTTCGTCGTTTAATACTAAGAATTGAAGCGTTTGTACCTTTATAAATGAATACAAAAGTCTAAGTGACTATCCTTCTTTGAAGCTCTTTGTCTTGAATGATTTATCTTGAATGTGCGACTTTTCAACACTCCTTTCATTGTAAGTCCGATTTGTAGTGTGAATGTCTTGATATTGACATTTATGTCCTTGACCGATCGATATTACAATCGATGATTTTGAAAACTTGGAATCAATTGTTAGAAATTAATTTTTATGATCTAAACATTAAGAATGAAGTCAACCATATGTTCACAATCACCCGTCGTTGCTTGCCATTACCACTCCCACCATCTCGTCGGCCAAATTAGACACTACAAAGGTGGTCTTGGGGGGTTTTTCATGTTCTGAAACCATTGGACGTGGTCCCAAAAGTTGATTCCCATTGAAAGTTTGCCAAATCGTTGGCCTCAACTTGCGTGTGCAAAGTTGTGATCTGGGGCACATGTGGTCCCAGTTAGTGATTATGGCTGAATTGAAAGAGGCCCAAGGTGTTGTCGGTGTGGCTATGGCAGTCAACGACATGTGTGGTATTCCGGTGTGGTGGGTCCTGACAATGGATGATGATTTTATGATATTTAAGTTCATTTTGCACGATTCTCCTTGCTAATTTTGGAACGTAGGTCCTACATGAGGGTTTGAGACTCGAATCAAAGATGAGGGATGTTGGGAAGATGTTTTATGTTGGTTGTGATGGATGGGTCCAACGGCTTTGATGGCAGTTGAAGGCGAATAAGTGGTGGTGAGCTATTCGGCCTTATCTAATTCTTGGATTGGTAGNAGTGGTGGTGAGCTATTCGGCCTTATCTAATTCTTTGATTGGTAGGGTTTTTTTGGGGTGGTGCATAGCAACCAGGAAGTGGTACGATGTTGTGGTGGCAATGGTGGTTGTGTGGTGGTGGGTTGTGGCCTGCATATCTGCGTGTAGAGATGTAGGGGAGGTGTACATGGTGGTGGGTACGCGTGCGTGCCGTAGATGCTGGTAGTGCTGGTGGTTGTGTGGTGGTGAATTCTGAACTCGAGGTGGCAACGGTGTTTTGGTGGTTCTGGTGGTGGTAAAGTTAGGTGGGGAGTTGTAGTGTAATTTATGACTAGTTAATTATGTAACTGAGACCAATTAATTTGATAAATTATAACTAATAAATAAGTTGTAATTAATTAATTTGATAATTTGTGATCGAATAATAACTTGTGACTTATAAAAATTGTGATTTGTGACTAAATTTGTAATTGTGACCTATATTTTGTCTTTGTGATTGTGACACTATTTGATTTGTGATTAGTACGTAATTGTAACCATAAATTGTATGTTATTCCTAACTACTTAATACATAGGTCACAAATATTTTATAAGATGATCACAAATATGACCACCTAATTTTTGAAAGAATTCTACAACTTTCTTAAATATGAAACTGTGTCTCGAAACTATGGTAATTATGTAATTTTTTCCTTTACAAAAAGTAATTTTAATGAAGAATGTTTAATTAGAAAGTAAGAAAGATTTTAGAATTTAAGTACAAAACTATTTTGTTAGACGAATATGTTATTAAAAATGAATTTTAGACAATGTGGTCAACCAATAATTTACACTTTCATCCAAAAGAACTTTCCATTGGGTTCTCCGACATTTTGACATTAATAAAAATGTATAAACATTTATAACTCTTGCTGTGACACGATTAGAAAAAAAGAAGTCAAGCATGTGCGAGCATTTGCCATTTTTATCCACACCAGATGTTGAAAAATGATCTATGGCAACTTGATCTTGTTGATGGAGTGCAGCATATTGAACCATTAGACTTTAATCTTGTTCTCAACGTTCACAACAAAAAAAAATTGGGCCACTATTTCTTTAATTTTTATGCAATCTGTTACTTGATGACTAGGGGTAGAGTCACCTGTTGCAGTGGCAGATCCAACACCCAGCGAGCACCGGCGACCGCGTGCGTTGGATCCAACGAAATAATTTTTTTTTTTTTTTTTGAGAATAGATAACATTTTTAGCTTATATATCTGATCATTCATTTTGTTTTCAAACATATCTTATAGTTTAGTCTATTAGAGTCTCCACATCCAAATTGGAAGTCCTGGGATCGAATTTCTTCCAAATCAATTTACTGAGCCATCATTAAGACTATTAAGAACTTGACCGGCATTCATTGAAAGTTAACACTAAATGTTACAAAATAATATATGTTCAGTTCTGACGGTTTTAATACAATTGAAAATATTCGAACATATGATTTTCCTTTGAATTATACAGAACTTGGCCACTATGTCGTTTGGTGAATATTGGTGATATATATAGTAGAATTATTTATGTTTAGTTTTAGCAAAATATTTGTTATATTTAATTCTTAAAATTTTATTGTGCACGACACTCAACATTGCTCGTGCTCATTCAAAATCGTTGATCCGCCACTGACCCGTAGTCCAGTGCAGGCATATAATAGAATTATTTATGTTTAGTTTTAGCAAAATATTTGTTATATTTAATTTTTAATATTTTATTGCGCGACAGTCAACGTTGCCTGTGCTCATTCAAAATTGTAGATTTGTCACTAGCCTATAGTCCAGTACAGGCACATGCCTGCAAACTTTTGGCCCAGGTCTAATCATTTTTCTTTTCTTTTTTTATTTTGTTTTTTGAAGTGTAAGATTTGATGAAGATGAGATGCAATACTATATGTAGGCGCGGACCTTGAGAAGCAGAAGTCGTAGCTTGAATCTGCATCTTCAATTATATGAACATATCTTCTATCAAAACTTTTCCTCCATGTCGTCTTCTTCATACTCATTTCTACCGTTTTTTTTTTTTTACTCTGTAAGGAGGTTTTCATGTTATTCTATTAGTACTGAGGTGTTCTCCAGTTGAAGATGGCAAAAAGAAAGAAAAGATACACCAGTCGGGAAGCAAGATAAAAGTTTTGCTCTTGTCGCAAAACCTCATTTGCAGATGACCTTCACACAGAGAATGGATGAAGAGGTTCTTCCCATAATGGAATTCTCAGTGGTTAAGAGTATGGCTTTTTCTATGCAATACAACTGTGATCAAAACCTCGTGTCGACTTACTGGATGGTATAATGAGTGAAAATATTAACTTTATTTTCTGCCTTAAAAGTGTTCAATTTTCTGGCTTTTTCTTGGTATCTTCTTTCTTTGTCTTCTCTTGTCCCTCCTATGGACAAAAAGTTTTTGAAGAGCTGAGTTGAAGTGTCTCCCTAAGTTAGATGAAGTTGTTCTTTTGCATAAAGGGCTGTAGGGGCGGAGCCATCTGTAGCCCAATGCAAGCACATGCTTGGACTAGACTTTGGCCTAGGCCAATCTTTTTTTTTTGGCAGTCTATGATTTGATGAAGATGAGATGCAATAATATATGAAGATGCAGAGTTTGAGAAGCAGAAGTGAGAGCTTGAATCTGCATCTTCAATTGCATGTATATATCTTCTATAAATGCTTTTCATCTATGTCGTCTTCTTTTTCTATTATCTTCTTCTTCATATTCATTTCTACTATCTTCTTCTTTTTCCTCTTTAAGGAGGTTTTCATGTTATTCTATGCTTGGCAGTGATCAGCTTAAGTGGATAAAGATGTTGTGGATAAAGCTCATAAGGTCTAAAATAATAATTCCCCAATTTATATGAATTTTAATCTATAATTTAATTAGCTACTTTGTTGAAATTTTAGATTCAAAGAAGTAAGTCGATGTTTGTAGTTCATTTTTAAAATATAATTTTTCTCGAACTTATTTTTAATCTCATGTTCTTTCAATAAAACCTAAAATTTATCCTACATTTTAACTATATGTTCTCTAAAAAAATTAATTTTTTCAAAATTCTTTCTAAAAATGAGGTTTAAACATCTGAATGGTTGCGTGTTTACAATTTATTAAGGTTATAAAAGTAACTTTATAAAAAAATAATTTTATAAAAAAATAATTTTTACAAAATTCTTTCTAAAAATGATGTTTAAACATCTGAATGGTTGCGTGTTTACAATTTATTAAGGTTATAAAAGTAACTTTATATAGTATTGGATTGGGATAGAGATTTTTAGTTAAGTTTTATTGTTATCGATTTATGAGAATAGTAAACACGTCACATTTAATAAAAGGGTAAATATGAGATGCACGTGAAGGAGTATGGTCAACACTAAATTCAAATGTGTTCTATTTCTAATTTAAGTTTTTAGACGGATTGACAATTATATGTAAAAATGAGAAAAATAGAAGAAAAAAAATAATTTTTTAATTCGATAAACAGTGAGTAATATAATTTAGATGCAATCAAAGTGATAATAATCAAAGTTTAAATTTATCTAAATTTCAACTAAACACATAAGAAATTTGTATTTTGTTTTAGAAGGGCTCATTTAAATTCATTTAATATGAATATATTTTCATAAAATAGAGAAAATTCACTTTTCCTTATCTTCGAAACCCTTCTACGTTCCTACCCTATTTGTTTTTTTTTTGGAGTTTGGACAATGGATTTCAAGAATATTCAAACAAATCAACATGTAAACATTTTAAAGTATGAAAACTCGAAAGAAACAAATATAACTTATAAACTATATCATTTATAGTGTTGTCGTAATATTATGTTATATTTTATCATTATTAAATCAATGATCGAAAATCAAAGTCCAGTCTTGATTACATTTGGCCCGCACTGGACAATATTCCTAGATCCATCCCTGTTTATGCCTCTTGTCTCTTATCTTCTACAAACCAAAAACCATCGTCTTAATTTATTCTTTATAAAGTCCATGTCTAACGATCATTATTTATGAAAAATAGAGTTTGAATAGTGATTTTTAAGAGAACGTGAAACAAAAAAGTATACAAAAGTTTTGGAAAAAGTATACAAAATATCTTATTATGTGAATGTGTAGTTAGAAATGAGTATGTAGAAAAAAAAATTTAAAAATAATGATTATCAAGCAGGAGCAAAGTGTGTCGAGCACATCATCAATCAAAATATACAAGAAATGAATATCCAACTTCCGGAAAATATTTCACTTACCAAAACATTGAAGACTAAACTATAAAGCCCATGTTTGGCAGGGATTAAAATCTTAAAAATTAATTTAAGTTACATATTTCATGAAATTTATAACCTTTAACCATGCATTTCATCAATTTTTATCAAAATTTACTGAAAATTTGATTTCAATTCCCACCAAATGGGGCAAAAATTGCACGACCATTTATTACAACAAAAGGAAGGTTTAATAAATAGAACGAAGAAGAGGCAAAACGGAAATCAAAAGCAAATAATTCATACTTGGAACTGCAAAACACAGAGAGAGATTTTCAGAATTTCCAAAATAACCTGCTATAAAATAAACCAACATAATAATTTCCTAATGATCAGAAGCCAAGTGAAATTTTCAAACTAATTAAAAAAAAAAAATTAAATAAGTAATGCTATTCATTACCACTGGTGTCATACACCAATTTAGATGTCAACTGCATGTCATTAATTCATAGATCCACTTGAATGCTTTGCCACATGATTTATTTAATTGAACTTATCAAGGGTGATTACCTAAACTGGCGCTTAAACATCATTGACGTTAGATAG